AAGCTAGGTAACAGGGAGAACCCTAACAGAAACATATGTGGATCTCCTGGGAAGGGAAAATAGCCAAGATCTCCTGAGAAAATTGGGAGCATTGAGAGGCTAGAAAGGAGGGTGAAGAAAAGGAGGAGCAGAGAAAGAGAGATAGTAGGAGAACATGAGGGAACAGGATTGTTGAGATGAGGGAAAGAGGAGAGCAAGGAAAGAGACATCTTGATTGAGGGAACCGTTATAGGGTTAGCAAGAAACCTGGCTCCAGGGAAATTCTCAGGAACACATAAGGATGACCCTAAGCAAAAGTGGGGAGGATGCCTGACCTGACCTTCCCCTGTAATCAGCTTGATGACCACCTTAATTGTCATCACAGAACCTTCATCTAGCAACTGATGGAAGCAGATGCAGAGATCCACAGGGAAGTACTGGACCGAGCTCCCGAAGTCCAGTCGGAGAGGGAGGAGTGATAATATGAGCAAAGGGGTCAAGACCATAATGGGGATATCCACTGAAACAGATTGCCTGAGCTAATGGGACTCCATTAGCTGACTCCAGACTGACAGTGGGGGAACCAACATAGGGTTAAACTAAGCTCTCTCAATGTGGGTGACAGTTGTATGGCTGGGATGATCTGTGGGGCCACTACAAGTGGGATCAGGATTTATCCTTACAGCTTAAACTGGCTTTTTGGAAGCCATTCTCTTTGGAGGGATACTTAGTACAGCCTCGATATAGTGGGGAGGGCCTTGGTTCAGCCTCACAGCGATGTGCTAGATTTTGTTGACTCCACATAGGAAGGATGTGGGGTAGAGTGTAGGGGAAGGTGGAGGGAGTAAGAGCAGGGGATGGAGTGGGAGCTGGGATTGATATATAAATTTACAAATAAATAATAGTTATAATAAGTGTATAAAAGTGAAATGATAGGATAAAGGTTAGATTGGTGAATCTACTTTCAAACAAAAAAGCAACTCTTAGTCTCAAACATTTTATAATGGTATGAACATTTGTATATTGATACAAATTTAATGTTATTATGGTATATATGTATTCATAGTTGCTTAAGGTATTGGACTTATGCAGTTCATTAAACTATGCAAAGTAATTTTTTAGCCCTTGAAAGCTGTTATTATAAAGTACTTAAGGTAATCAGGAATGCAGGTTAGTAGTTAGTCTTCTATAACAACCAAACTTATAGTCATGTTAGGGATGTTTTCAAGGTCAAACATATTTTAGATAGATAGATGGTCTCCAAACACTTCAGAGATCTACAGAATATAGCATTTAAGATGTTTTACTAACACAAGGCTTTTCATGACAGTGAGACAAGTCTGGTCCTGGCAATACCAATTTACTTCAAAACAGGATGATTGGCCGGGCGGTGGTGGCGCACGCCTTTAATCCCAGCACTCGGGAGGCAGAGGCAGGCAGATCCCTGGGAGTTTGAGGCCAGCCTGGTCTACAAGAGCTAGTTCCGTACTGGCACCAAAGCTACAGAGAAACCCTGTCTTGAAAAACCAAATAAATAAATAAAAAAAAATAAAAATAAATAAAACAGTATGATTAAGTATCAAAGAACCTCCATATGGAGTTAACTTTCAATGTGGTAAAGGTAGTCACTGGCCAAGAAACTTCCTTTGACCCAACTGCTGACAGTACGATGTCCAAATAGAACAAGCAGAAATCAAAAGAAAGTAACTGCTGAACTTTGCCAAGACAAGGTAGGAAATGCTTCAAAGTTCCTGCTTTACAGAAAAATTTGTAAGATACTCAAGGCCTGAAGACTGAAGATGGATGCCTCACCATTGCAGAGGAACCTTAGGTGACTGTTCAGGCAGCCAGCTGTCCTTGTCATTTCTATTGTTTTGGAGGTTGTTTTTTCTGTACTTCCTGTTTACTAAGGTAATATTATATTCTTCTCTGTTCTTTGATGGGGCTGAAACCTAGATAATTTTAGTTACAGCCTTCCTTTTTACCAAATTCAGAAGAGAAACTACATAAGAGATATAAGTTTATAAGTTTGAGAAATATAAAACTTAAGTTGTATATCTAAAAAAATGTCTTAAGGTCTAAAAAGATGTGTTTAGGATGGTAATACAAGTTATGGTAGAACATCATTTAGGTTCTAAATAAAACTTTGGACTCACCAAGATGAGATAGATAATACAGTACTTTCTTCAAATGTTGCAAATATAAATGGACAGAACATTGTGAATGTAATCCTTACCTGAGAATTGTTCCTGAATATAGTTTTACTACGATAGAGTTAAAACATTTCCTTTCTATTTAGATAAAGAGGGGGACATGTCAGATATTTGTACACCGTGTGAGGACGTCTTGCTGTAACTGGGGTAATAAAGGTCTGAATGGCCAATGGCTGGGCAGGAGAGGATAGGCAGGATTCCCGTCAGAGAGAAGTCAGGAGGTGAGAGGAATGCATCTGGGCACTCGGGAGATGCCAAAGGGAAGCAGAAGAAGTCAGACATGGGAGATGGAGGATAGGTAACCAAGCCATGTGATCAAGTGTAGATTAATAGAAACAAGTTAATTAAATTATAAGAGCTAGTGGACAAAAGCCTAAGCTATGGTCAAGATTTCAATTTTTTTTTTTTTATTTATTGTGACAGGGTTTCTCTGTTGCTTTGGAGCCTGTCATGGAACTAGCTCTTGTAGACCAGGCTGGCCTCGAACTCACAGAGATCAACTTGCCTCTGCCTCCTGAGTGCTGGGATTAAAGGCGTGTGCACCACTGCCCGGCTAAGCTTTCATAATTAGTAAGTCTGTGTTGTTATTGGAGGACTGACAGTCCCAATGAGAAAGCTTACAACAAACTGCACCGGGAAATGGTTCATGTTGGGCCCCTGACAGGGTACTTTCAAGGTAGGCACAACTTCCTTGTAAATGACAGGAGTTAAAAACCCCTGGTTTTGTAAGGTGAGCATCCAAACTGCTTAATAAATAAATAAATTAAAAAAAAACCCTGGTTTTACAAACCTAGCACAAAAAAAATTTATCCTCTAAAGGCAGTTCTCTCATTAGGTTCTTCAGTGATGTGAAGATCAGTGCGGGGCCTGAACTTTATTCCTCTGCTTGTGAACAAATCCCTTTGAGGTGTAGTTAGAAAGAAGAGAAAGAAGCTTGATAAGAATAAAATGACACCTGGGGTAATATCATAAGACATTCACACCTTTCACAGAGAAAAGTACCTTTTCCTTCCAGTAATCGCTGGTGTAAATATCCTTGCACAGTTTGTTAAGGGGTCACATTTCAGGGTGAGCAACGCACAATATGTGACCTGACCGTTTGCCCAACATTTGTAAAAAGTCTCTGTACCTTTGAAAATAGATGAAGAGAAGCTCAAGAAGCCAGAGATAACCAGTAGTAAAAGTGCTTGTTGTCCAAACATGGTGATTGCCATTCAGATCCCTGCACCCACTGAACATCCACACATCTGTAACTCCAGCTCTGGTGGAATTCCTCCTAGGGTCTTTAGAGATGAGTTCAGGGCTTCAGTTATTGCTAAACCTCCAAGGCAGTGAGTCTCTTTCTCAGTTAATCCTATTGACAATGCTGAGTTTTATTTACACTCTCATGGTAACATACTGATCCCTGGTGAGTTGGGACCTGTTGTGCAACAGTTTCTTCAAAGATTGAAGCATTCCTCTCTGAAGAGAAGCCCCTTAAGGGGGAAGCAAACAACCCAAGAGAGCCTAGAAGTACCTAAAACTAACCAGATTCACTAGGCCCCTCCCTGCCTTAGTAAGCAATAAAAGCCAAGAGACCCTCTCAAATTGAAGAGAGCTGAGCAGCAAGGAAGACTCTCAGAAGAGCCAACCTCAGACCAGCTGCCTGGAAGGAGCAGAAACCAGTCAGCTGCTTTGAAGAGGTTTAGGCCCACGGAGTCACGTGGAAAGGACACTCTGCAGCCCACTGAGCTGTCTGCAAGGTGTGCAGTGTTTCCAGGTCCCCAGCTTCTGTGAGCTGTCATCCATGCTGAGGGTGGGCTATGATAATGCACCTGTCTGTGCTTCATTTTTGCTCCTGTAAGAAACCCCTCACCCATATTCTTGTAAGTAACCCAATAAAACTCATTGGTTCACCGAGCTGAACTTTGTTGGTATCTGTACTTTACTTATCCTGGGCTCCCTATGTGGGGAGAGGAGACACATGCTTCATTTCCCTATGGGAAGTTTTGTCACACAACAGTATCTCCTGGGTTTTATAAATGTGAAATTCTGCCTATTCTTTTTAATTGATAAGCATATTGGGAGGAGCCATTTTGAAGGACAGTTATATATATTTTTATTCTGTTATTGACCCCGATGTAAAATTTTCTGAGTGATAAAAGTTGTAATCAGGATGAACTAAGTTAGCTGAGATGATCTGGGTAAGCTTGTGCTCTGCAGAAGGGAACTGAGATGCGTGTGAGTAGTTTCACAATCCTCCAACCCTGTCCTCCAACTCCTCAACCCGGTTGGGGGTAAGCAGGGCCACCACCCTCCAAAGAACATTGAGTTGGGCTATCTCGGGTCACATCACAACCAGCTGTGGAATGTTGAAGGCTGTGTCTAGGGCAACCTCGGACACAGGTATCACTTGTGAGGCTTGCCTTGGATGTGTTCGCCTCACGGGTAAGGCCTGGTGTCTTAAGTGACAAGGACAGTCTGTCTGATTTTGACGACCTGGTTCCTTAGCTGGTTACTTTACTCTAGAGGGACTCTTCTAAGTAAGCATTCCTAGAACTCCACGGGGATTCCCACAGTGGCCCCAGGTGAACTGCCAACACTGACTGATTCACCAATCAATTCTCGACGTTCCCTACTCAATTGGATTCATATTCTGACTGACCCCGAAACCTCAAATCAACTGTGTTTATGAAGAAAAGCTCTTCATCCATTGACCGGATAGATTCTGACCTTAAACAAACTTGTGAATCTTCCATTTCCGGGAATAAGTGGTTCTCCCTACATTGGGGTCCGTCACTCAACACAGGCAATCCACACAGTGATACCATGTGGCAACCGGGACAGTGTGGGATGGAGATGAAGCCTGAAGCTTCCAGACAATGTCGAAAAAGGAAACATCAGGATGAAGAAGGCACGGAGACGGAGTCTGAAGCTTTGAGACATGGTCGAAAATTGAAACACCAGGAAGAGGGTCGAACGGATTGGGAGTTTGAAGAGCCCAGCAAGGCTCAGAAGAGGCTAGCTCAGGAACAGCAAGATGGATGGCTTCAAAGTGAACAGCCAGGCAAGGAGCAGCCCCAGAAACCCCGGGAAGAGAGGCCAAGACAACTAAAGATCCTAGACTTGGCCAAAGGTCCACAAGAGCAGGCTGCCTGATGGTGGCAAGGGTCGTAAGCGGCCCTATTGGGTCATGGAGGCATTTCCCCTAGACCACCATAGGGTAAAGCACCAAAAGTTCCAGCAGCACCTTCAACACAATGATGACACAGTCTCTGACCCACCCAGGGCTCCCAGGGCACTTACGCATAGTTCGAAGGTTAAAGGTCGTGTGGAAGAGCACAGTCACGGATCCAGAACAACTAAGTGTGATCCTAAACAATCTACTCTTGCTGCCACAAGAGAATGTCTGTTACCAGACAAAATAGGAAAGATGTCTCCAGAAGAATCTTCTGATGCACAGAAGAAAGCTGGAGTAAATTTTGAAGAAAGAAGGAGACACCACTCGGAGTCTGACTTGCAAGGAATACGGGCTCAAATCCTGCATACTGGCAGCAGCAGCTTACTCCCCAACAAGACGCCCATATTTACAACAAAGGAAAAGCCTGTTGCAGACCAAGGGAAGTGCAGAGGAACGGATGAAGTGCGTGATATTACCGAGGACATGCAAAAAGAAATCAAGAAGGCACTAGGTCCAGGGCCCCAAGAGGAAATCTTAAGTAGTGCATTCAAATTGCACATTACTCGAGGTGATATCCAGACCCTAGAGCCTGGTGAATGGCTCAATGACGAGATAATTAATTTTTACATGAATCTTCTGGTTAAGAGAAGTAAAAAGGAAAGCTACCCTGCTCTTCATGTGTTTAGCACTTTGTTTTACCCCAAGCTAAAACATGGCGGCTATAGTGCTGTGAAGAGATGGACTCGGGCAATGGATCTCTTTGAAAAGGAAATTATTTTAGTGCCTATCCACCAGAACACACATTGGAGCCTAATAGAAATCGACCTAAGAAAACAGAGTATTATATATTATGACTCCATGGGACACACAGGGCAGAGCATTTGTGAGACCATCTTTCAATATTTACAAAATGAGAGCAAGACTCGAAGGAACATTGAGCTGAACCCTTTGGAGTGGAAGCAATACAGCATGACATCAGAGGAGATTCCTCAACAGCTGAACGGGAACGACTGTGGCGTGTTTACCTGCAAATATGCAGACTACATTTCTAGAGACCAACCTGCCACCTTTTCTCAGCAGCACATGCCCATCTTTAGGAAGAGGATGGTATGGGAGATCCTGCACAGTCACTTACTGTAACAACATCCTCCCTGTTGCTATGGCACCCTGCACTTTTCCATCGATGCTTCTCTATACCTCAAGCAGGATGGTTTGAAAATATTGAAAACAGATACTGAGCTGTTCAACATGCATAAATCCCACTCTCTTCAATGTAGTCCTAACTTGGGGAGGCCTGCCAGTGCCGCCTATAGGATGCATGTAACTACTGCAAGCTTAGGGACTGCTGTCCAACCCACAGAAGAGCACATGTTTCAATACATTCTTTAATGCTGGATTTCGTTTATGAATTGTTTTTTTTTTGTCTTCTTGCCCCCCTATGATTTTTTTGTTTCATTAACTCATTTGTAAACCTTGGCAGTTGTTTATTTCTATTACTATTAATAATAATATTATTTCTATAATATTTCTTTTATTTTTCTATTATTATTATTATAACTATCAACTCTATTTCTTGTTTGAACTGTTTATCCCTGAAAGGCATGCCCATTACAGTGTTATCCCTACTGAAGATCAGGAGAAACATCAACAAGAGGAGGCAGGCAGTGTCAACTAGCACCTCTAATGCTGGTGATGAGCTGCTAAATTGAAGCTAGGGTTTTTTTGTTTTTGTTTTTTTTTTCTAATATTTATTTATTTATTTATTATATATACAATATTCTGTGTGTGTGTGTCCGCAGGCCAGAAGAGGGCACTAAATCTCATTACAGATGGTTGTGAGCCACCATGTGGTTGCTGGGAATTGAACTCATGACCTTTGGAAGAGCAGGCAATGCTCTTAACCACTGAGCCATCTCTCCAGCCCCCTAGGGTTGTTTTTTTTTTTAACATTTGAGTATCGTATAACAAAGAAAAATGAATTGTACCAACTGATTCTTTTCTGACCCACTGAAACTTATTAGACTTGCCTAGGTTGTGGACATGAGTGACCATAGAATGTGGTCAAGCTGCTTCCTGCCTGTCCAGGACCCATGTAGACCTCTGTGAACATAGGATGTGGTCAAGCTGCTGCCTCCTTTCAGGACTCCTGTAGTCCTGTGTGGCTCAAGAGTGTGGCTAAGCTGCTGGACGCCTGTCCAAGATTCATGTAGACCTATGTGGCCATCGGATATGGCCAACTACTGCCTGCTGTCCAGGATTGTAAAGACAAGCATTATGTTTATCCAAAGACACAGTCTTTCCCAGAATTAATGGGATCAGCCTTAGTTTTGGAAGCTGATTAAAAATAACCATAATTGGAAATATCCATTTTTATCTCAGGTCTCAATGAATCCAAACTTTGGCTTTGCTAGGGTTGCATTGAATTATTTGAAAAGTTTTATTCTATTTAAAGTTATGTTTTCTACTTAATTTGTTAGATTACTCTTATTATATCCAATTCCCACTGTGGCAGTGGGGATTCCGTGTTTAACATTGACATTGCTGATTATAGAATAATCCATTTTATGTGTGATAAACCTGTATTTAACTTTTTTTGTTCATTATGTTTCAGTTGTGTTAATGCAATGTTTATGTAATAGAGTTTAAAGTCATTACAATATAAAATAAAAATTATCATATAATTTGCCATTTCTCATGTTTTTCTTTCATCCTGAAGAATTTCCCTGAAATTTAAACACAGAATCTAGACCAACAACTGGGGAGTCTGCAGGGGTCCTGGTCTGTTTGTCGGAACCCTGTCAGTGGGACAGGGATCTACCCTGGTTCATGAGCTGGCTTCTTGGAGCCCATTCCCTATAGTGGGATGGCTTGTTCAGCCTTGATGCAGGGGGCAAGGGCTTGGTCCTGTCTCAACTTGACTGTCAGGCTTTGTGGATTTCCCATGGGAGGTCTTACTCTTTCTGAGGAGTGGATGAGGTGTGGGTTGGGGGAAAGTGGAAGGCCTAGGGGGTGAAGGGGAGGAGGGGAAACTGGTTGGTATGTAAAATGAATAATTTTTTTTTTAAAAAAGGTTATGCAATTCCACAGGGAAAAAATCCATCTTTAATCTCCGGTAGTCTGATAGAATGCAGGGGATTATTTCAATTTTCTTGTATTTGTTGAGACTTGTTTTGTGACTGCGCGTATGTGGTCAGTTTTGGAGATTCTTCCATGAGGTGCTGAGAAGAAGAAAAAAATATTCCTTTCTGTTTGGGTCAAATGTTCTGTAGATATCTGTTTGTCCCATTTGGTTCATAATTCCTATTAGTACTAGTATTTCTCTGTTTAGTTTTTGTCTAGATGACCATCTGTCCGTCTGTGGTGAGAGTGTGATATTCAATCACTCTATCATTATGTGAGGGTCAACATGTGATTTAAATAGTAATGTCTTTAAAAAAACAAATATGGATATCATTCATTGTGTTTGGAGCCTAGATGTTAAGAAATGAGAGATTATGTTGGTGGTTTTTTCTTTGATGAGTATGAAGTGTCCTTCCCCATTTCTTTTGATTAGTTTTGGTTTTAAGTCTATTATGATATTAGAATGGCTACACCAGCTTGCTTCTTAGGTCCATTTGCTTGGAAAAACCTTTTCAATCCTTTTCTCTAAGGTAATAACAATCTTTGATGGTGAGGTGTGTTTCTTGTATGATGCAGCAGAAGAATGAATCCCATTTCTTGTCCATTCTATCAGTCTTTGTCTTTTTATTAGGGAATAGAAACCATTGATATTGAGAGATATCAATGATCATTGATTGTTAATTCCTGTGTTATTTGTTGTTGTTTGTTGTAGTAGTAGTAGTAGTAGTAGTAGTAGTAGTAGTAGTAGTTGTTGTTGGTGGTGTGTGTGTGTGTGTGCGTGCGCATGCGTGTGTGTGTGTGTGTGTGTGTGTGCGCCCATGCGTGTGCGTGCTTCCCTTCCTTTGGTGTTGCTGGTGTGAGATGAGATTATTGCCTGTGTTTTCATGGGTGTACATAACCTCCTTCAGCCGGGATTTTCCTTTTAGCACCTTCTATAGGATTGGATTTGACTTTATCATGGAATATCTTGTTTTTTCATCTATGGTGGTTGAACGTTTTTCTGGGTATAGAAGTCTGGGCTGGCATCTGTGGTCTCTTAGAGTCTTCAGCACATCTCTCCAGGCCCTTCTGGCTTTTAGAGTCTCCATTGAGAAGTTGAGTGTAATTCAAATAGGTCTGCCTTTATATGTTACTTGGTCTTTTTGCCTTACAGCTTTTAATTTTTTAAATCTTTCTTTGTTTTGTATGCTTAGAGTTTTGATTATTATGGTGTAAGGGACTTTATTTTCTGTCCAATCTGTGTGATGTTCTGTATGTTCTGCATGTATAAGTGGTGTTCTGTATGCTTCTTGTGAGTTCTCTTGGGTAGGAATATTTTCTTTTATGATTTTGTTGAAGCTATTTTCTGGGCCTTTCAGCTGGGATTCGTCTCATTTTTCTAATCCTATTATTTTTAGGTCTGGTCTTTTCATATCATCACAGATTTTTTTTGGATGTTCTATGTGAGGAATTTTTTGATTTAGTATTTTATTTCCATTTTCTTTGTATACATTTTCAATGTATCTATATAATGATATTTTATTTGTGTTTTAATAAATAAAGCTTGCCTGAAGATCAGAGTGCAAAGCTAGCCAAACTAGTCAGCCATACACACTAGGCAGTGGTGGCACACACCTTTAATCCCAGCACTGGAGAGGAATATAAGGTGGAATGAGACAGGAATTCACTCTTTTTAGTCTGAAGATTTTGTAGAGGTAATTGCTCTCCAGTGGCTTGGTTGCTTTGCTTTTCTGATCTTCAGTTCGAACCCCAATATCTGTCTCCGGTTTTTTATTATCTGTGCGACATCTAACAAATAAAGCAGAGGTAAGAGCTCGCTAGTGGCTTGGCTGCTTTGCTTTTCTGATCTTCACCTTGAATCTCAACATCTGTCTCTGGGTTTTTGTTGTTCATGCTCCATCTGGCACCCAACTTTTGGGTACAAATTCATAAAAATGCTATTTGTCTGTGTCTTTACAGCCACCAGCAGAGGCTGGGGCTACATGTGACCAGAGTGACCACCCTATGGCTAGGCTTTTCTTTCTTTTCTCCTTGTGGGCTTTCACTGAATCCCATTGTCAGCTACCTGCCAAGCAAGGTAGCTGCCTTGAAATCTAGTAAGACTTTTACTGTTCTATGCAGCAACTATAAGCCTCACATCTTTATCATCATGGCAGGTTTAATGAAAACATTGGGAATTCTTAAAGGGAGGAATTAGTTAAAAGGGAGAGTTTTTTCCCAAGTTAAAAAAAAAAAGATACAATTATGAGAGAGAAAGTTAGGTCTCTGTATGATTATGTAATGCATGATTTAAGAATGGAACAATTAAATGAACAGACAATCAACTTAACCAGAATTGACATACTATTAATTATCATTTTGATAATACTTGTTGTTGTTTTGATAATTTTTGGTTATCTCTTTAAAAAAGTTATTTGATTTGACTGCCAAGATACAGGGTTTCAAAAAATAAAACAGATCATAGAGATATTCTAACTTTTTTTTTTTTTTTTTGGTTTTTCGAGACAGGGTTTCTCTGTGGTTTTGGAGCCTGTCCTGAAACTAGCTCTTGTAGACCAGGCTGGTCTCGAACTCACAGAGATCCGCCTGCCTCTGCCTCCCGAGTGCTGGGATTAAAGGCGTGCGCCACCACTGCCCGGCAGAGATATTCAGATTCAGACAGAGGACTTTATAGAGAACCAATTTCAGCATTGCATTATAAGGTTAGAGAGAAACAGCCTGAGGTTTTCAATCAACCAACCTTAATATATCCAGTAACCTTATAGGAACAACTGCCAAATGATTGATATCCCCATGGAAATGTTGAATTTAAGGAGATTCAAGGAGGTAATATGGCACACTTTCATCTTTTGTTAAGTAAAGGCTAAACCTGTGGTCAATTTATAATAGAATTATCCCTAAAGACTGTATAGACTTTGTTAAAGCTGTTTTAGAGCCTGGTCCACAATTACAATGGTGTCCCTGCTTTAGAGAAGAGGCTAAGGCTATTGAACAACTGTAAAGCTAGAGGTAGGGAAATC